CGGGCCCTGCAGGTAGGGCCCCGGGCCCGAGCGGTGCCGCGGCCGAAGGTCACTGCCAGAGCAGAACGGAAATTTGGTTTGCCGGGTCTTGAGTCAGAAAACCGGCAATGCAGTGCAGCTGTTGACAATGAGACTTGTCAGTCTGTAGTTCATATTACTCCCTTCTCCCTTTCCTACGTGAAAGCCAGCAGCCTAAGGTTCCCAGAACTGTTCTGCAGCATTTTGTTTTCTTTTACAGCACTGGTTTTCCATCTCCATTCCCCGAACAGCTCTGTATGCTGAAATTATTTTCTTGTTTGTTTTTCTCTTGCTGAAAAACTGGAAGCTTGCTTAGGAAGACCCAAGTATTTAGTTACCTAGCTTATAAACTGGCTGTAAATGTGCTTTTGGCTGACCCTCGATGCACAAGCCAAGTACTGGAATGTACTTAAAGGTACATTACTTAATTGCATGTTCCTGAAGTTCTTGGTCTTCCCTTGAGTGTGTTAAGTTCACTGTTTGGGTTGTCTGTCTGGATTCACCTGTCAGACTCTTAGGCAAGCAAGATGACGCAAAACATAAACTTTGACACACTAAAGCAGAAGTGACAGTGTGAATTTCACAACGCTGTGCGGGTGTAGGGCATTTCTGATAGCAAGGGCCGATGGATTAACTGGGCATAGGCTCAGCTTTTTGTGTAGCTCTTAATAAGGCACATTTCTTCCCATCTGCAGAAACCCTGAGCACTATTTCCAGCTTCTTTGGCTGGAAAGGTAAATCAGACACAAAGTGATGCTGCAATACCAATGAGTTTCTGTCTGGATCCAATAAGAAATGTAAAACTTGTAGTGTTTGATAGTAGTACTGCTTTGTGTTCTAGCTGAGAAGATCGCCAGGAGAAGTGTGTTTTCCAGGAGGCAAAAGTGAACCAGCTGATAAAGATGACATTGACACTGCTCTCCGAGAAGCTAAAGAAGAGGTGGGACTGCAGCCAGAGAATGTGGAAGTCATCTGTAGGCTTGTGCCTGGAATTGATAAAGTAAGCAATAAACTGAGTAAGTCAACATATAATTAGTAAATAAACTTGGGTTGTTGTCATTTGTGAGGTTGGCAGTGACTTTTCAAACTCTTAACTGCCCAGAGCCACCAAGCACATGTGTGTGTGACCAACAGAGCCAAGGGAAGAGGTTCTTGCTCTGTGTTTGGTGTTCGTGAGATCAGGTTTGGGGCACCAGTTAGCGACTCGGTGGAGTACTGGGAAGATAGTGCCGCACTGGAGAGCATTTAGCAGAAAGCCACGAGGAGCACACGGGTTGTGAGGAGAGGCTGAGGGAAGTGGGTTTGCTCAGTGTGGAAGCTAGCAGGGGGTCTAGACCTCTCCTCCTGGGTGACTGTAGAGAGGATGATACCAGACTCGAGCCAATGGACAGCATCAGCAGCATGGAAATTTTGAGGAGATGCAAGGAAAATGCTCTTTAGCATGAGGTCAGCCCAAAACTGGAGCAGGTATTCTGACAGGCTGTGTGATCCCCATGTGGAGAGAAGCACAGAACTCCCCAGGCAGGGCCCAGCAGGCTGCGACAGCCTCATAGGGTTCCCCTCTGTGTCCTGCAGCCACCAGGGTGGTGCAGGTGGACAGGGACTCTGGAGCTGATGTGGTCTGGGGTTCTGTAGGGAGCTCCAGCCAGGAGACTCCTGAGGTCTCTTTAAAGTATAGCTCACAGCTTGTAAATGAACAGGCTGGCAATTTCCACCAGTGTTCAGTTTTACACTGGATCAGTTTTCCTGTGGTACAGAGATGTTACTGGTGCAAAGTTATTCTTGTTCTTCAGCTAACAGTTTATTACTGTGCCTCCTGTTTTTCTCTCTGCTAGCAATATCCTCTCCCCATTAAAAACCAAGAGAACTGGTTTTGAAGTTGTATTGCAAAATGCTTTATTGAACTTCTTTAATGTTACCTGGACAGACATTACCATTGAAGTCTCATGGGGCAGAGGCAGTGTATGAAAAAGATCACATTTGCAGTGTTTTCCAGCAAGTTGCCTTATACAGTAGAAAAGATTATGTGGGTTTTGGGCCCCAAAATTTTTGCCTGTCAGAGGCTACTTTGTCCTCTCTGTACATACATTCCAGGTGATTCTGACTTGCACAGCCTCCCCAGACTTGCATCAGATAGTACAATTGCTGTTCTGCTGTTACTCCTTTCTACTGAACACTGATCTTTGTTGGTGTGAATAAACAGCACTAACAGTGTACCTGAAAGAATCTTGGTGTCCTCTTTATGCAAACTACTATTTCAGGAGATTTTTCCCTCCCTGTGGAAGAAGTGGTTACATTTAAAATTAAAGCAGTTTCAAAAGGTATATGTATTATATAGCTCACTATACTTCAATCACATCTCTGTATTGATAGAAAAATATTTCTGTATCCTAGGAAGATTCCTATATCCCAGGAAAATAGATACGGAAATCTGACAAAGACAGCATGAATGACTTGGGAAATTCAGAGTCAGGCTTGGACAAAGCAAGTGAGGCCTGTAGAAAGCATGGATGCTTTTTGTTTCTGCAGCAGTAACAAGCCTTTCTAACTGCTGTATGGTTGTACCGGGTGAGCAGGGTATTAGTGAGATCGTGGACAAGCCTTTCTAACTGCTGTGTGGTTGTACTGGGTGAGCAGGGTATTAGTGAGATCGTGTGTAACCAACATCAGAAGGTAAGTTAGCATTGTGAAATAGCTTGCCACTGGAGGGACTAAGTTGCATTAGCAGTCAACAATAGTTCATAGGCTTCTACTCATTTCCTAACATCTGAAATGTTTTTAAAGTGAAAACATTGCTTGCTTGGTACAAACTTAGTGCTTGAGGGTTTTGTTGGTGGTTTTCTGACTGGGATTTTTCTCTCCCTTTAGATGAATCACGTGGTGACACCAGTTGTGGGATTTATCGAGGACACATTCCAGGCCACTCCTAATCCTGATGAAGTGAGCGATGTTTTTGTTGTGCCTTTGGAGTATTTTCTGAAGCCCTTGCATTACAAGGCCCTGTCCTATAAAACCCCCTCGGGGCTCGTAACTCGAATGCACTGCTTCACGTACTACAGCCAGGAGCAGAAAAGGTCATTCCGGATATGGGGACTTACAGCACACTTTGCTGTGTTCCTTGCTCTAGCAGTTTTTGGAACAAGACCTACCTTTGAAGTGGAGTATGATCTTGACAACTTGATTTCATCCTCTGAGAATAACTTCATTAGTTTGTATGCATCCTTATATGAGAAAAAGAAGAGTCATCTGTGAAAAAATGGTCTGGAAATTATATTGGAGGAGTAAACAGGGTTTTGTTTATTTCCCTTGTGCCTATTATTTGCTTGAAAGGCACACTTGAATTTCTTCTGAATGGGAACTTCTTAATAATTCATCTTTAAATAATGCTTTAGTCAATCCCTAACCAGATTAACATATTTTTTAATCTCTCTTAGAGTTGCCCAAAGCACACAGTACTTTTGATGAAACAGTTTTGGAGGGTCTGTTTCAGTTCCTGCCTTTGTTTTGTGTGATTGGAGATGGTTTGTCTCCTGTATAATGAGGTAGTCCTGTTTCATCTGATCTGTGCCTGTTTGAGTTAGAATATGAAAAACTTTGGGGCTCTGTCTTGTCTCTTACATGTGGCATATGAGGTATGGACAACATAATGCACAGTCTTGTACCTTTCAGCACTTAGAGAACGCACAATAAAAGTATAAAAGGTGCCAAGTGGTTTCCCAATCTGGTTTTGTTCTGCTTGGGCTGGTGGAGGGAAGAGTGCGGGTTAGCAAGACGTTTCAGAACGTTTGGCCACCTTGGACCTTGAGCATATCTAAATGCCATCAAACGTCCCATATTCCTGCACTAGCTCTTGGGGTGCCTGTGGTAATTATATCTGATACCAGATGACTTGGTAAGTTAAAAGAAAAAGACATTTGTGGGCTGTGACTGGGGTGAAATCCTCAGCGAAGCACTAGCCACAGTTGTGAAGAACAGCTTTATTTTTCACTGTTAAACACTGGTGAAATTCTTCAACCTTTTGAAAGTTTGACTTCAGACTCTTGTGAAATACGGTCCCCCGATTCATGTCAATACGGAGCAATGTTGGAATCTCTCTATATATCTACCTCAATATTGTTTTGTTAATATAAGCCTTATATTATTTGTGATACTGCTTATTTGGAACCTTATATTAGATACTGCTTATTTGGAATTGGAAGCTGCTATGACACATAGTCAAGCATTAAAAGCCGAAAGGGCCTAGAGATTTGGGAGGGCAGGCGAGGCACAGGCACTGCCGCCGGCCTCCCCCCGCCCGGGGGAGGCAGCGGAAGGGCCTAGAGATTTGGGAGGGCAGGCGAGGCACAGGCACTGCCGCCGGCCTCCCCCCGCCCGGGGGAGGCAGCGGTCAGGGAGAGAGCGCGTGTCTGAGCGGCCCCGGGGGAGGGGTGTGCTCGGCGGTGGGCAAAGATACTTATTTTGAACTAATGATTTAGGCTGAATAATATTTATTGTTTGTTAAGGACATTTTGTTTGCTTAGCATTTACCATGTTTTGTCAAGCTGTGTAGTTCCTGGAGGAACATTTTGGGGTTTGATCTGGACAGGAATTGATTTCCAGCTGAGTCTGCCAGAGGAGAAGGGGTTAAATTTAGACTGCTGCTTTTAGGTGTTTACTTATGAGCCTGTGCTGGGAGAAGAGATAAAAAGTTCAAGAAGACTCATGGAGGCAAAGTGAGCATGTCCTGACGAAGACCCCCGTCTTCTTGGGACAGTCATGAATACGTATTAACAACGAGTTTATAAACAGAAACCAGGACCTGTACAGGGTGCGTGTTGGTAGAGCAGAGACTCCCTGCTCACCCAGCGCTGTTTGCTTGCTTAAATTCGCATAATAAATTGTACCTAATTCAGAATAACCATCGAACTATTATTTCCACTCTATATAATCAAACCTTCTCTGGTCTGAATTTCTTCGTCACTTTCTATTGAGTTTCAGTCACATGTGGCTCCTTGGGCTTGAGCTTTCACAGCAGCACAAGGGGATGTTGCACCTCAAAACCAGTCACAACATATATCTGTCCTCCTGAACTGAGGGTTGTACCTCAAGCCAATGCTGACTTGGTTCATCTGTCATTCTGTGCTCGAATCTCACAGCCCAGAAATGCCATACTGAAATGTTACCTGCTGAGAATACACTGTCTAAGCTGTTATGTGGGGTTTTGGGGATGGTTGCTGCTGGTGTTTTGAGGAAGGAGCTGGCACTATTCTCTAGCTATGTGTTTTTAAGGCGGGAGAAATACCAAAGGGAGAATTGCTTCCTTTTTCTAACTTTTAAAAAATTACAATTGTAATCTCTCACTGAAAATGCCATCCTTGGTTCACGTTTGTGCCTAAGTTGTTTGGTTCTCTTTGGCTGCAGCTCCTCGTGGTGCTGGCCCTGCTTGGGTGGCTGGGAGTGTCCCTGCAGCAGTGTGTGCAAAG